GTATATTTGATTGATTGGCTGTCAACCATTGACCTTCGTGCACGTGAACTTGCCACCAAAGGCACTCTGACCATTGGCTTTGATTGAAATGCAGTCACTCGCAGTCGTTGAGTCGAACGCTTTGATAGCCTTTGAAGCTTCCTTTAGATACAGCGGGTTGTTTTACTTTGGTGCCCCATCATTTGCTTGTGCCTTATTAGCGCAAACACGCACTCTTCGATTTGCTTCACGATTCGATGTTTATTTTACATTAATCATTCGTTGCCTATAATAGTACCATTACGAGACAAACTCGCCTTCTGTTAACTTCAGGATTTGTGCGTCAATCGATCGTTTGGAAGGAAATATGGTGAAAAATCCAGAATCTTCTCCAGAGATTCTACTTGTATCTATGAGAATAGATAACGGAACTTGGGAAACAATCGATCACTGAGGCCACTCCTCAGCATAAAGCTTAAATAAGTCTTAAGAATGGCAAGGAAAACCATAATGGAGCAGCAAAGGGGTATCGAACACATTGCTGAACAAAAGCTCCTATCAGAACAGAAGTGATGCAATCTTCATATGTTAAAGAAGAGAACGTTCAGCTTGTTGGATAGTTTCGGTGCCAGTGAAGCCATGTTCAGTGTGCGTTTTGCAACTTCAAAGCGTAAAACGTTGTTACAAGGCTGGATTGGTTCAGCACACAGGCTCACTTTAACTAGGGAAGTAATAGAGGTAGTGGACAAGTTTTGTCATTTGGGCGGTTGTCACTCATTCGGCAGTTGCATCATGGATGAACTTCAACCTCGCATACAGAAAGTGCGATTGGCATTTGCTAACTTGACACATCTGTGGTGCCGCCGCGCAATCCAGCTATCGCCGAAGGTTGTGTGCATGCTGCTTTACAGCGCAGAAGCTTGACCATTGAGAAAACAGGATAAAGAGTTTGAACGTAGGTGTCTACGCAGCATTGCACGAATCGGAACCGGACGAGCAATGCTGAGGTTAGGTGCAGAGTTTTGAGTGACCGCGGTCGCCCACTGGAGCAAGTGGTCGACCTCCATAGATTACGTTAGTCAGGGCGTGTTACGCCAGACGCCAAACAGGTCGCCATGGGGCACGATGTTTGCCAGAGACTTATTGATATGGCTGAGTGCCGTAAACGGTGGCGCTCGTGCATCTACTCAAAGTCTTTGCAACGATAGTCCATGTGAATTCTCGATCATTTCTTTGACTTTCCTTGCAACATTCCAATCCTGCTTCCGCTCTTTTATCCATATGGGCAGACATGAAATAGCAACCAAATCTGGTACACGAAGGTGCATGCTCAATGGTTGTAAAAGCTGAAATGACAGTGATTAAACAGTATTATTATATTATATTTCAAACATGTCTGAGAATAGACTGTATCAAAAAAATTATGGTACAATAATCTTTATAAAAAGGAAAAACATTCCATGATTGGCTTGTGGGCTAAATACTGTGAAGTTGCCCATGCCAAGGCAGGTGAATTTTCTTGAGGAATTCACAACTGGAGCCTTCGGCTAGCGGGGCGATGTGTGAAGACCGCAGTTCACTGGGAGCCGGTATCCAGTTCATCGGATCATTCGTCCTGTGGACGGGGTCAAACGTCCAAGGTGCCCAATACACCTCAATGCCAATTCGAGCTGGGGACCACTGCCACAACCGAAAATGCGTGTGTGTGGTTCGTATGCCTCTTTTTGGTTGGTTTGTAATCAGGGTTTTTGGCCAACTCCCCTGGGTGAACTACCAGTTGTCCAACGACATTATTAGGAATCACCATTTTTGATCAGCCAATTATTACTTCTTAATCATGAGAAAACTCCATTTATTCCTTCCCATTCGAGTAGGTACTAATCCCGCCGCAAAGTTACGTAACTAGGTCAAGATATCACACATGTCAGGAAATTCGATTTACTTTCTCCGATGCTAAGTACGTAAGTACAAGAAGCTGCTAAACGATGGAAAGGCATGGGATAATGCAATTGATAACGCTATTATTAGTACTCACAATGTATGACAACCATGACACGAAAAGTAGACAGATTCACTTTTAGTTCGGTTTGTACAATCAGTAAAAGCATGGATTTTCGTGCGCCGGTTTTGAAATGGAATCAAATCCTCCATTAATCTCAAGCAGAGGTAGAGAATTAACGTGAAATAAGACTGCAGACACAATAAACAGTTGCCACTGTTTGCGACACTCAACCATATCACTCAGCTTCTAAGGACAAGTTACCATGATCCCGAGGCCTCCATTCAGGGAGCCTAACGGGACTTATGTGACCTAGTATCCTGGTTAGGGTTTTCAAACCTTCATGCTAGGTTTTTTTACGCTTATAGTACCGAGGCTTTAAAGGGTTCGGCTCCCCAAGCGCTGTGAGTTGGGGTGCCGGTTCCCATAAATCACTAAACGGTGATCTTCACTATGGGTTTGCATACCGTATCTCACTGCATCATGGTGCGTAATAAAAATATGAGAAACAGGCGCCTCGATTGTCCTATAAGAAGTATTCCGTTTTGACAGTGACTAAGAACGGCACAGCCGTTGATTAATTACTTTTACACAATGACATCCAAGTATGAACTCTTCTGAAGCGAGCAAAACGACAACAATAATAGTTAGCTGATCTGATTCATCGGACCGGTCGCTTTCCATGGCCTTCCGCAGTCATGACTTGTTCAGGTACGGAGTACAAAAGCGCAGTCGATCAAATGGTGCCTATGGGCCAGTTTAGAGATCGACATTTACATCAGACCTGTACACTGTATCCGAAAACCCTCAATAGACGAATAGTAATCTGCTAGATTACAACATCGCAACTTTTCAGGTCTCTTTAGGAGCCGGAGTTCTGGAAACATCACTGTTTATGAACTGCTTCACACGAAAATATGGTTGTGCAGTTGTTTCACCATAAAATGACAAAGAAAACCAAGAACTCTAGATACACGCATTGGTTGGTCTTTGGAATCTATGTGGAGAAAATTTATACAAAGACTTAAGGAAACCAACAAAATCCGTGGTATCCAAAAAGGAACAGAAGACATATCAAACAACACACAATTGCTGAGCAGTTCATCGTTCAATGATCAATGATCAAAAGACGAAAGAATGCAAGTTTAGGGTTGATGTCTGACGTCTGATTCAACGATTCAACCCGGTTTAGACAATGGGGTGTGCAGAGAGTGGGACAAAGGGTTACAATGTACGAATTGAGGGGGATACATCAATAAAGGGATCGATCAGGCAGATCGTACCACATTGCTGTTCAGTTTGAACCCCGGATCGACAACTGGTGTGGGACCGGGGAAGAATGCGTTTGCTATGCGTGCAGCCTCACGCAGACCACTGAGTAGTGCCCCATGCACGGTTGCCGGATAACAACGGCATGTGTGTTCTCCGGCAAAGAATAGACATGGTTGGGATGAGAGCGCTGAAGCCGGCTGGGTACTTGCGGCCACCGCAATCTCTTCCGCCGGTAGAACG